TGGAGAAGTACAGAACGTCAACCAACAAACTGCGTCAGATAACGAGACCAGCTTGAGTGGCAGAAATACGAATGGGAAAAGGCTCCAAGCAAAAGGCATTTGCAGGCTAGGAGCATGTCATCGGTTACTTAAAATCGGTTTGGCTTGCTCGCATTGTTTGGAATGGTATCATCTGAAATGTGTAAATGTGTCCAAACAACAGATACAAGAGCAAAATACCTCACAATATGCACTACAATTTGGTACTGCGTGCTCGACCATCACACTCGTTAAGTGCTTGCTTATCCTAGTCCAGAAGTGCGTCTGGTTAACCACAGAAACCGAGTGGTGGATGAACGATAAGGTTACTTCAACGGAAGCGAGTATGCACCAGGGAAGCGTAGCGGTCTCTGAGCAAAGGAATGCTGCACAATTTGCTTTTCATGAGCCGCAATCAGTCACGTTCCCAGCCACGCTTTCTTCCCCAATTTTGGTAGGACGCCGGGCGAAAACTGATCGTAGATACAACACTCAAACAGTATTCCTGGCAACGAACATGAGGCACCACTCGGAACGTTTGGCTAAGCAAATTCCAACTGGACCTAACATCTAGCATTAACAAGGATGAGGCAGCCGAACACCAAAACTCGGTACCTGTAGCTCAAGTGTCTCTTGTAGAGACGAAGCCCCCGGAACATCATTTACATTTGCGGCGATTTCTGCAAAGGTAAGCTGGGAGAAAGCCGTTGTGGCTTCTTCTGTTGTTAAAACCTTTAACGCGAATGGAGGGATAAAAAACAAACAATCAACACTTGTCAGCAGGTCTGAACAAACGAGTACCCTACACAGTAGATCAAGAAACATGAGATCCAACAACAGTGCCCGGCCTGTGTATACTCAAATATTCCTGAATCTACCGCCATCATATTGTGGGGTAATTTATCGAACGACCACGGCCAATGGAACATTGTGCGTGCTGATAAATGTCAAACCCAAACCCATAAACCTGATCTGAATAACTCGTATTCCAAGCTCGCCACACTATCGAGAACCCAGACTTATCCGCGTAAAATTAGAACCCGCTACCGAGGTAGGAAACGTTTTGCTCTCCGTAAGCGCGCTAAAACGCGGATACTGTGGGATACACAACTATCGTGATTTCCCTTGGAGCACGCGACAATAAAAAAGAAAACACAGCAAGTAACATCGCCTAAACACAGTCTTCATACACGGAGTGCCGGAAGATCCTTCTAGTGATGTTCAAGAGGTCGGAAAGCACGATTTAGAACAGTGGCGGCTCATTGGTGAAACACTTTCCTTTGATAGTATTGTGACGCAATCGCTCACCAGAATAATTCTCACACCAAATTAAAGAAGATGCGGCCCTAGAATTCTAAAACTAGTGCTTCAGGCAAAACAACAAGCAACGGGTGGTTTGTATTTATGGCGGAGAAATCGTATAAGTCCTCCTTCTGAACTTCAGTTGAAGGTCGTAGCAATTATGCAATGTTCAAAAAGCAAAACACCTGAAACCGGCGATGATACCATACCTTAACTTGACTGCTGTTTTAATTGACTCGGACATGGGTCTGGACGAAGCTTAAGAAGCATCTTGGCCAAAGCAAGTTTAAGACGAGGTATCATTAGCCCATCAAAAAGGAGGAATAGCTGCCGGCCTGCCATCTGTCGGCATTCTCCCACACCTGGTTCCTTTAACCCTCTGTGGGCTCCTAGAGACCGAGAAACTGGGCTGCTTGCATCCGAATTCTCAGGGCCTTTTTAATAAACTGGCCGAATTGAAAGATCGCCGCGCTTCTGGGTCATGTGTTGTCATTGGTATCACCGAGGCGTGGTTGCATACGGGAATGATGGACGCTGAAATTTCGCTGGAGGCATGTCGCTGCTCCAGAAGGATAGGCTAACAAAAGGAGGAGGGTAATTCTGTATTACCGAAGCGACTTAGCATGTGAACAAGTGGATAATTCAGATTTGCCGTGTCCGACTCTCTTTAGTGCTGTTTGTAGTTAAAAGGCCGAGACGCTTGCGTTATTGTCTAGGTGTACCGCCCCTTTACATCTGAAACTGACTGCCATCTTACGGCTGCTTTAAGAAGCATATTACAACGAAAGTACACTCATATCCTTATCATGGGTGATACCAATGTACTTTGTTCATAAACTCCTGTTACGATCGGAGAACAATTCAAAGCCTAGCTACAAGAGCTCATAATTACTGTTCCTCTTTAAACTCACATCACTTTGTTTGCTCGACTCAGAACAGGTAACAGGCCACCTGTGTTAGATCTTGTGCTTACCAACAAGGAGCATATGATTGCTGTGTTGGTTGTAGACTGCCCGTTAGGTAGCAGTGAACACGCAGTCATCAGTTTCAATTTTGTCTGCTATACGGAACATTGAAATGAGAACGATGAGACTACGTGAACCGTCACATGTTACGATCGATTAGCCCAGCTTGCCAACGCTACAACTTGGTTGTTCCTTGCCAAAAAGCCGCAGGAAGTTCTTCAACAAATTCAGTCGGCTGATTGTAGTCTTCCGAGATACGTGTTTGCAATAAGTGTAATTCAGTTTCTTTCGTTAGCAGCAAAACTCGAAAATGGATGACAGTATGCAACGCAGCATGGCGAGTATACAGAGAAGCTCTAGCCCCAGAAACTTGGGACAACTACATAGCCCAAGTTACCTCTGCAAGCAACTACTAAGAAGACAAAACCGCCTATCAGCAGAACATTCCAACAACCTTCAGTGCTAATCACAAACTGCTGTACAAGCATGTAAAAGGTCTACGATATGTGAGGTAAGGATTTCATTCACTCAGGACGGCTGATGGCCCAACAAGAATGGCTGTGGACGCAGCAAACACGCTGCGGACGCAATATGCCCCAAGTTTCACAGGGTCTTTCCACTAAGCGGTCTTCCAACCTTTGTCGTCTTCACGCCAGGACAAACCCACATTACTTTTACCGCAGAGGCTGTAGTGCAAAAGTGGACGTCTCTAGACAAACACAGGTCGCCGGGTGTCGACACCATTAGTCCAGAGGCATTGGGAGCAGCAGCAAGCCAACTGGCAGACCATTAACTCATCCTTTCAGGGGCTGCTTAGACCAGAACCAAGTTCCCAGCTATGTGGGAACTTGAAACAATAATCCCGATTCAGAAAGGTGGAAGCGAAAATGATCCCTCCAACTACCGTCTAGTATCCCTACTTCCTATCCTTTCTGAGTTCATGGAATCCATAGTTGCCGATGCACTTGTGTGTTATCTGGAAAACCGTAACATCAGCACGCCTGAGCAATACGGCTTCCGGCAACGGTGGTCATACACAACGAACGCACGCACGCACGCAGAATATGGACCGAGTCAGCTGAAGCAGGAGAAGGCGTTGCTGTGATCTACCTGGATTTTTCGAAGGCTTTCGATCATCTAGACAATCCGATACTACTCTCCAAGCTTCGGCATTACGGGATCGGCTACCATCTCTTACACTGGATTGCTAATTTTCTACTTCAACGACAGTTAGTGGTCAGAGTTCGGAGCTCTGTATCGGACCCCATACAAGTCGCGTGTGGTGTGCCGCAAGGCTCAGTAATAGGTCCACGTTTGTTTTGGCGTTTATTAATGAGCTTGCACAGGGAGACACTTCAAAGATTTTATGTTTGCCGAAGATATCAAGATTTGGCGCAGGACCAAGGTGAGCCTCGATCAGCACTTGCTAAAGCGTGACATATATAAGGTATATAAATGGTCGACCCAAAACTTACTGCATTTCAACATCAGGAAATGCAAGGTGCTTTCGATCCGACATCAGAGCAACTACTCATACCGGCTCGGAACAAATGTACTGCAACCATCAACTGTCGAACTTGACTAGCTTGTCCTGGTTCAAGATGACGTGTTACTCCAGGAAATCTGAAAAGGCCTCAAAGACTGGAAACCAACAAGTCGGGCTGTTACGACGGGCAGCTGGACAAATAAACAGCTCCATTTGTCGACAAATGCTCTGTGTGTATGTTCGCCTCTATGTCGAATACGCCATTCAAGCCTGGCATCCATGTCTGAAACGGAATCTTAATGCACTGGAGCAGCCACAAGGTTGGGCATTTATGAGCGTAATTGGAATGCGGAATCTTACATAACAGGTGAGGCTGCAACCATTGGAGGTGTTCTGTGGAAGCTATCATAGATTACGAGGCGACTTGATTATGGCATCCTTGATTCTACAAGACCCACATCATGTGTGCCGCCCCCTGCTGCGACTCAGAACCAATACAAACCTTTGGGGTTGCTAATTGAAACGCGTAGAAAGGTATAGCCTCCTGGACTGACGCCGAACTTTCTCTTCCATTTGTATCTGTCACCCGTGGAATGCTCTCCCAGAATCGATTGCCTCTGCATCGAAACTAACAGTATTTAAACGAGGGTTGGATTACACACTCACCCATTTAAACTTTGTCACTTAGCGCTACGTCTCCATCCTACACCTGAAGTTTATCATGGATTTATTTGATGTGAACTGTGGGTGCTGTGTATCTAAGAGCATTGCAGGACTACAGTGGAGCAAACGATTAGCCCTTATTTTCATATTTAAAATACTACCTGTTGTATTATTGTTATTATTGTTATTATTATTATCATCATTATTTCGATATTCCCACCAACCATTCAATGGAACTTGTAAAGCAATGCTTCTTAGTCCATATAAAGTTATTGTTTGTCTTTCATTGACGACCTGTACGCTTGAAAGTTACATACTTATGACACCGGAACATAAGGGACAAGCTCGGATGGCTAGGACTGATTTCTGCGTGCAATATAACACGACTCACCCCCTTATCATGCATGTGAACACAGAGAGGACTGGGTTGGTCTCCAGAAGTACGAATTCCTCTACAAGCAGCCACTAATCGTGATGACAATAGGACTTTTCGGACAAGCAATAAGAGCAGAAAGATATTTGAGCAATATTTTATAACATTAGAGGACATTCGTCGCAACCATTACCTTGTAAAGCAATTTTCCCCACATCTGGGGAGTTCTGAATAGCTGTTTCGCCCCGTTGGAACCGCTCCACAACGCCGATCTGTGTAGGATTCAGCCCCACTATTCATGTGTCCAGGCGACAGCGGTCTATACCATTAGGTCATGCATGGGAAAAACTGGTCGCGGAAATGGAACTGACTGCGACGGCAGTCTCTAAACCTAACTTAAAACTCTATACTGGTCCTCAATCCGTGCTTGACTACCTGTGGTGGGAACACCGGGTGTACGCTGCTGAGGTCCGGCATTTGGTTTTGGCAAGGAGCCTACTGTTGCCTCACTCGAGTGTTTGTTGACTTTTAATCGACTGCATTGGCTATGCTATATCCTTCGTATATCTGTGGACCGACTTCATCAGTGCGCATCATACGCCGTCGCTATACCATATTGGTAGCAACCGCGAGACGGGAAGTCATCGCCGTATTAAAAGGCAGGGAGGGATCGAATGAGAGGCTTATCCAAGCCGGTGCCGTCCTCCTGGATGTGGACCTCTGGATAGTCTACACCAATGATTGGTGACTCTACCGGACATAAAGCAGTCGCGCAATCAGGTACCTTGTATCGAAATTGTTGAATACTGCCTCTTGAAGACGTCAGGTTCTAACAATGTGATACCAACTCTCCTAGTCGGATGAACGAACGAGACTCAGAATTATTTCTCGCACGGCACGGTAACTGACAATCTCAAAGTCTGTCGGTTCTCGGTACTTAGCCGCGAAAGATTAATTCACGCGAGTCGAACAGGTTCCTAGACCGAAAGCAAAGTTTCTACGCACGATTTCCCAACCCAAGACTGAATCAAGAACAAGACAGGCCTTTTGCCACAGGCGCTTTTACTGGCCAACGCCAAGGCGATTCTAGCGTTGTACAGCCTCATTTTTATATCCCGAAACGGTGATGAAGGGGGGTTTGCCCTTGGAAGGGTTTGCTTACGCAAACCCTGGAAATAAGATACATGGTTTTATGTAAATGTGCAAAGTCCGTAGACTGAGCAGAAATGTTGGAAGTTTGGCGAGAGTTGTCCGGAAAAATGAATGTTGCTTGGATACAACAATGCGTGTTTGGTTGGAAACAAGAGTTTCTGGGTGCAAAGGCTAAACAATGTAAATGTTTCACGAGTTGGAAGGCTGATTGAACGTGTGCGTTTTGTCTGTTCTGAGTACATGTGCACTTGAGTGAATCGGGTTTTCAGCCTTCCGTAATTTAAGCCTGTAATAATTATAGGGACGTTGGGTCCCCATAACAGAACTGTTAATTTTCATTCCATTCCTATTGGTTTGGCACACTTTTTGACTCCATTTTGCTCGTTCTGATTTCACCAAACCTCATTGTCGTACTGTTGCTGTACAGTTTCATTCTGCCGACATGAGTCCTGGCATCTGGATCCACCGTACTTCGGCACCCAGACGATAGTTTTTCAACTGAACTAAATTGAAATAGTGTTCAACAAAGGCAGTCCTTTTACGCTCTTCTGTTAGAGAACTTCCATTGGTCCTACTGTATACTGGGCGGCAAAACACCAGTCATTTGGAGTTCGATTTTGCTTGCACCGCTTGTAAATGGACCTGCATGTGAGTATGGGGTGCAGAGAGGCGGGCGTGGTTGCTGGAACCTGTTGCAATATATTTTTGCTGTGATGTGAGATTGATTACGTATCGGAGCCCATTTTCTCCCCAAACCGTGTACTTTTCACTGAAGGTTTCATTCGTAAAATAGAATATACTACGCGGCTTACATGGGACTGAATTCTGCTAGGATTCCAAGTTTGAAAACAGCTTCTACACACACTTGACAGGCAAGAGCGATCAGTATGTCCTCTGATATAAGCGCTGGAATAATTCTTGGACTATCCCCCAGAACTCTCATACACATGGTATATCCGCCGAATCACTTGTAAATAAATCTGCTACGTCATATCAAAGAATCTACATCCGTGACCATGGCATTTTTGACAGATTTCGAGGTGCATGCGAGGTGAAACATTCTGTTGTCTAGGTCAAAAAGCATGGAAGGCAATTCTGTGATGTACTGGACATGCAGGGATTATCCACTGAATTTAACCAATGGAACAATGGAACAATGGTTTATTACGGGTAAAAAAGCATCGCTTAACAAGTCCCGTAGGATGGAAAATTATTGTGAAAATCAATTGCATGATAAAGGGAAAAGCGTTGTGGTGGACTCACCATAGACTTATGCGGAATAGCGGAGGTGTTCGCGTATTAAACATATAAATCCATAAATCCACTGGTTAGGCGTTTGGCAAGACATCGTTTGATTGCGTTTTGTAGCCCCTGGCTAACAAGTCATAAAATGAAATGTTAGTGAGACAATGCATCGTCAACACGTCTTTTAAATATTGCCAGATTGGGAGCAGAGACGACATAATTAGGGAGGGCGTTCCAAGTCTGGCACACGCGGAGAGAAAAGAAATTTTCGCGGCATCCAAGCCGGCTATATTGTGTGCGCTTGATTCCCAAATACAGTGTGCTTGTGTTTGTTGTGAAGGAGTGTGGGCCAGCTCCGTTGATGAAACGTGGTTCCCATCCGCATGCCTCCTGGTCTTATTCCTTCGGGTTTACACTGGATATGGGGTGTGTGGTTGGAGCTGTGGGTGGTGCAGCGCAAGCCATCCATGGTCCCTCTGTAGGCGCAGACGTCCTGTGGCTTGCCATAGTGACAGGCAAATCCGAAACCGGATGCCGCCACCCATATATATATATATATATATATATATATATATATATATATATATATATATATATATATATATATATATATATATATATATATATATACATGTATATATATATATATTCGCAGCAGTCAATGAAAAGATAATCAGCCATCGAGAAACCATGGGAAACAAAATATAAATAAGTACAAATATCAGGAACAGATAACAAATATTGTTTGGCTTGTTGGGTGTTTGGGATGTTTGGTTGGTATTCGTACATCATTTTTTCTTTTTTGGCATTTTAAACGGTATAACTCTAACCACATTGTTCAAATGGTTCAATATTGATTCCGGTTTCGCGCTATATCGTCAAGTGTGTCAAGCCATTTGCAATCCCCAACCATGAAGACGTACTGGGCCGACGATTGGGAGACAGGAGGTCAGCGATTTCATGGTTTGCCGCCATGTGGTTGGCTGGTCTCCACGCCTTCCCTTCCAGTACAATTCCCTTGCGAGCAATTATAATGTGATGTGGTAAGCACTCATATGACAAACGTAGAATGTTGCCAAGCCACCTCAATTAACGCATTGCGATCGGACGATCAAGCGGAAGGCTCATGTTTTCCAACGCGCGACACCGGATTACATCGTTGCGAACCCGGTGCAGCCACCACACACGGGCTATTGGCCGCAATCATGGGTTGTGGAATTTCCCGAGCCTACGCATGTCCTCCACACGAGTCGGCCGGGACTCACTTCTGTATAGCAGGACCGCGCGGACACAAGCGTTGTGGACAACCCCCCTATAAGGAGAGGGATTTGTCCCGACGACACCACAAATGACTCAGGTTGGTAAATACCAACCGGGCTCTGGCGATGAGATGAGATACCTCTTTCCCTATAGTGCCATTTGAGGCGAAGTCAGAAACGATCAACAAGTTGCCTGTTTCTTTGCGATGTCTGTCGAAATAACATGATCCCTGAAGCCGAATTGCACAAAGCCGACTGTTAACTGCTAACTATTCTTGTAACGCAGCTTCGGCTTTCTTACTTAGCGCTATCGCAACACCAGCCAAACTTGCTGCAGCTGCTTCTTCGCCAATGGATAGACGCAGTTGGTATATGGTTACGCGATCAGAAGGGGACGTCAGCCTGAGAACACTACTGGGATCCTGTAACCGGGTTTCGGAAAAGCAGCAAAGGTCAGTGGCCAGAGACCATAAGGTACGGGCCGGGGCGGACGGTTGAGCAAACTTCATAAGCGTTCGTACGTTGGTGCAGGTCAGTCACAACATCGATCGAGGTTGAAGTATGGCTGTCGATTGCGCTTTTCGGGCGTCGGCAAAACCGGGATCGAATCAACGGATGTGAAAGTGACGCCCATAACTTACGTGTACATTTTTGATCTGCATGGTTGTGGTTGTACTAGCCTGATGATGATCCATTGAAAACAAGCTTGTTGGTTACTGACTAATCGCATGGGTCATTCTAACGCACTCATTGTGTGAGTGGATTGCAACGCGTAATCTCAATGTGGTATGCGATTGGAATCCTACTGAACCTTAATCAGGTTCAGCTAGGGAGGCATTAGAGCTGCAAGTCGAATCTTCGATATTTAGGATGTCAGTGAAGTCTGTACCCCTAACAGTGTCGCGGTTGCTAGTGTTTGTCACAACGGTTCAGAACTACATGGGGGTCTTTTATGTTGACTTAACAACTCTCAGCACTCTACAGCCACTGGAACTTGCAGGTTGGGAATTACTAGGTAAGCCATTGCATGGTACTTACCACCACAGATCAACCACATTCAGTTATCTACTCGCGCGGTCAAGTATAGTCTGTCCATGCATGACCACGCTCTAAGGCCATGCACAGATGTCGGATCGGGATGGCCAGCGAACAGCAAATGACTTGTGTTGTTGAATGGATCGCCACAACCGAACTTGGTTTGTGTCCACATAACTGGGACCCGTTGGTTTGGTTCGCTTCTGTTCTTGTTGTCTGTGATCAAGCCAATGGACACAGGGTGTGTTGGTGTCACCGCGTGGCGTGGTTTGTGAAGTATTTGTTGTGGCTACCGGACGGGGTAGCAAACGAACTTGTTTATAAGATTGACGAAGCCGAACATGTGTGAGTTTTGAACCCCTGAGTGGAATGCTTTGAATTGGGGCGGACGGTCGTGCCCTAGTAGCGCAGTTGGTTAGCGCGTCAGTCTCATAATCTGAAGGTCGTGAGTTCGAGTCTCACCTGGGGCAGCGGCTTTTGCTCGCGTAGAACACCAAAGGCCAGCATGGTCCCACCCACCCCAACC